CACCAACCTAATTGCTACACTTCTACACGTACAACCTCGATTATTGGTCCTGGCCCAACAACAGCCTCAACAATGTGGCGTCCAGCATCCCCATTATCAACGCAGTAGCTACAGTAATCCATCGTCAAGTGCTTTCTTGAGCGGTCAAGAGGCGGATCTGCAACAACGAATTTCTCCTCCTCAGCTTCTTCAACCCTTTCGCCGTCGAAGCGTTGAGGAAAATTTCTCACCGTTGTCAAAAACTGACGATACTAATGCGTATCAGGCGGTGCAAACGTCCAGTACAAATTATCATTTGTTACAAAATGTCACTGCTTCCACTGTTCCTCCATTAATGTTCAGGCTTTCCAAATAGTGTAATTTTAAAAAAAAGAGGAAGATTACATTGCTGATGAGGCGCTAGCAAGCTTAGTACAGTAGCAATTACCGCACAAGTTCTGGACCGATCTCTTAGGTTGAACGTGGCACCAGAAAGATCAGACTTCTTTGAAAAATTAATGCGCATGCGCCTAATATGTTAAAATGCTCAAATCACTTTCAGCTTGCTTAACAAGCAAAGAAAGAATCGATATTCGGAAAAGCGATAGATATTCTGTGTAAGGCGATAGAGATCCTATAGTGTTGTAGCATAGACACAACTGCACCAAACTTCCAATTGTGGCACTTAATTCTAGCGAAAAAACGCTGTTATGAGGAGTTGGTATTTTTGAAAATTTTCACCTTATAACAAATCGAATTTGAAAATATCAAAAAATGTTTCGAAAAATTGCGAAAAAGCTCCAGCCTTACTTCTCTCTTGGAAAGATTTTGAATTTATGCTTAAAAGCTGGTGACAGCTCCTGTGAAGTTTTGTAATAGTCTTGTTCGTCAAGTCAGTCCAGATTGCTGTACTCTATGTACTTTGTAAAAAAAAAAAGTTTTCTAGTAATAAATGTAACTGCTCCTGAGAAAATACAAATACGCACACGAATGCAGATGAGTGCTAGCTTAATAAATCTCTAATAATTTTCAATGTGTAATAACTTAATAAAATTCTGATGCTTGCTTGATTTTAACGCAATTTTGAAAATTTGACATAAATGTGTTTGAATTCTGTTCTTGTCAGAATTTTCAATGGTCAAATGGTCAGAAATTTCGTCCTTGGTGAAAGAAGGGACGGTAACGAAAGGTCGTT